ATATATATATATATAAATATATATTGTAAATGCGTAACGTAACAGTGGAGCGTTTGCATGGTGAACGTGTAGATTTGGTTTTTGTTCAGCTGGGTGAATACAAGCTTGTACAAAGAAGCGCTTGCCAAGCTACAAGTAGAAATGCACGAAGGATCATAGAGAAGTAGGGCTGGAAGGGATATTAAATGCCAAAGACTACATTTATTTTTCAAGCAATAAACCTGCTCCTGCATTGCTTGTGAACCCAGGGTTGAAGAACTGGCTTAGAGCAGCATGAGGATTTGAAAGTGAAACTGATGAGAAACAAAAGTGAAACTGATTAGTGTATTTTTATTTCCAAGCTGAGGGAACTGGTGGAAAGTGTAGAATAACCTAAATAATTAAAGACAAATAGATATTTGACAGATAGTTTTAACCGTAACGTAAGTTAAGAATTTGGCTAATGCTACGTTAACTGTCATTTAATTCTAGATAAACTAATGTTTGGTCGTAAATTCTTAGTTATGCTTGGCTTGTCTTGGAAATCTTCTGCTTGTAGAAATGTAAAGAGACCAACTGTGCCAAATGCAATTTCTGAAGGAAACGTACTTGGATTCTCAGAGAGTCCAGAAGATAAGAACCGTGTTTTAGTACAGTAAGATTACATTCTCATGTACTTTTAGTATTTTTCCTTTTCTATCAGAGTTGATTACCAAGATAATTATATATATGATTGTTGTCTCCCTTGTAATCAGCCTGTGCCTCCTGGTTGAGTCACTCAGTAATGTCACAGTTTAATGTTTACTGTTGTGAAATTGATATGGATTTCACAGGCCCTGGACTGTGACATCTGAGGCAGAAAGGGACTGAAGAGGAAGCCCTGTGCTGTATTTATTTAAAAATATATAAACTGTTGTCACTGTTCTCCTGTTTCATCTCAAAGAATCTCAAAGCACTTTACCACCCTGATCATACCAACTGTGCATATAGAGATCACTTTATTCTTTTATTGAGATGTAGCCACCTCTGGAGCAAAATGCAGTAACTTTAACAGAGTAGCTAAGAACCAAAAGTGAACAGTATCATATTTGCTGGAGACAACATATAATTTAAACTTTGTTAATCTGCTAGTCCCTACTGTCCAGGTACTGATAACACACTTTTACCCAATCTGCATCAACAGGAGAAAAAATAAATAAATAGAATTTAATGACTGGAGAACAGGACTCTGGTAAATTCTGTGGGGTTTCTTATTTTGGAAAAGTGACTTAGGAAGCCAGGTTTGGCTCTGTATGTCATACAGCCTTGTTAGTCTTTACTCCCCCAGCACACCCCATCCAAAAATCTTCCAAGTAAATAAATCCTTATTAAGTGTGACTAGTCACCATTCCCCTTAAATTTGCTTCATATCCATAGAAGTCATCCTTCCCTATCGTCGCATCTCTCCCTATTTCTCACCTGTATTGATGTTATTTTTTATTCTGATGCACTGCTGGGATCACATCTTTTGTTTTTCCTTTCTTTTGTGCCTAGTGCTTTACACATAAATAACAATGCGTAATAAGAAAGATTTAATACAGAGGGTCTTTAAATTCTGGACTTGATTATTTTGTCAGGGTTGCAGGTGTGTTTCTCATGAAAGGAGCAACTGCATAAATACTCTTCACTTCTGTTGTGCCTTTTATCTGAGTAGCTCAAAGCACTTTTCTTTGCATTAATTAATTTCCATAACACCTTTACGAGGCAGGTAAGTTTGATAAAAAACCCAGTCCACAAAGAGAAACACTGAGATGTAGAATTAAAGGACCTCGTCCTCTGAGATGCTGAGCTCCCTGCATTTCCATTATAAGAACATCCAGCATGTCAAAAGAGCTGCTTAGTGCTTAATACTGCCTGGTCCCAAGTGACTTGCCCAAGGTCATAGAGTATGTCAGTAGCAGAGCCAGAAATAGACTCCAGGAGGGCTGTCTCCTAGTATTTCCTGCCATAATTACTCCTCTCTCCTTAGGTGTTTGCAAATGAGAGAGTTGCTTTTAACAAATGCACACCTGCAATCAGAGCTGAGACCTCAGCATCCAAGTTTTGCTTTATTTGAAATACAAAATGAATAGTGGTAGAACTGCAACTTTTTGTATATTAAATTAGGGCTGTCCATCAGGTAGCCTCTGGCTGTTTGTGGCTCCTGAGAGGTTAACCTGCAGTGGTTCAGGAACTGCCCTTCCCATTGCTTTTCTGCTGCTGCTGGAGTTGTGTGTTCCCTCTTCCTCCTCTAGCTTTCACTTCTTTCCTTTACCCCTGGGAGTGGGACAAGGGCTGAGAGGGTCCTCTGCCAAGGGACTTCAGGGGACCTGGGTACCCTACACAATGCAGTAGGTGGTGGGGGGCGTTCCACATTGCAGGGTGCTAGTGAGGTACAGCAGTGGGTCTCCTGCAGCACAGCATGCAGCATGTACAGCATGTGGCCCAAGGATGTGCAGCCTGTGCAGCATGGGGCCAGGGCATCTGCAGCCCCAACCACTCAGATATTAAACGTTTGGTGATGGCAATATCTTTTTAGTAAGATCAATTTCTATGGCTGTATACCCATGCATTTTGCACTTAGGAATTAAATAGCCAAATAACATCAGTGATGCAGGATCAGTCCACAGACCTAGCAACATCTCCCCCCAGTGCGTATCACTAATTTTGTTAAGAGGTAAAGTTTGAAGTTTCCCTTGGCTTTTGAAAAGGTAAAGTTTTCATTTACATTATAAATTTGCTTTCCATCTGTAAAGCAAGAAGCCAGATAATTGGCATCTGGTGGGATAATTTGCTGTGAAAATGAACACAGTAATTTAGGCCAGGCATAGCTGTTCCCTAAAATCTGTGAAATATTTCAGCCGAGCCTCTTCAGTGTGAGCAAAGTTTTTTAGGAGGTGCTGATACAGAGCACATTTTCTGTGGTTAATTTGATGAACATAGAATAAACTGCAGATATATTGATAAATTACGCAGTAAAATTGTGGCCGTGTGTGCAGAGTTCATTTTTTCCAGATTGCTTGCCTTCTAATTTTTTTTTTTTATCATTTTTCATTCCAGATTACCACCATGAGGTATACAAGATCTCTGACTACAGCAATGATGTTAATGGGGAGACCAAAGAAACACAACCCATTTTTTTAGGTATGTTCTTGCATTGATTAATTTCTGAGCAACCCAGCGTGGCCATTTGCAATTTGGGAGTGGTAAAAAATCTCTGCGAGCGCAGGAAGTGTCTGCCATTGTTTAATCTGACGTTCTTTCCAAGACCTTTTTATTCTGCGAATTGCCAATATATCCTTTATTAACACTGCTAAAAGTTGTAATTTCAGACATAAATGTTTATTAGTGTCTACACACAGTGCTAATTATCACTCACTCACAGAGCCAGATGCTGACTGTGCAGTTTTGCAGCTCTCTGCTCACCCCATTTACATTGCATATTTGCTGGCATGCTTCACTGGCAATAGTTTGTGTAATTGGGGTATTACATCTTTGACATCTGGATAACAGAAATTCAATTTCCAGGAAGCCGCTATTTGTTTGGTTTTTGCTTCTGCCTTGGGTGGGATAGGGGATTAATGTGCTGTCTTAATGTAATGTCCTTTCACCTCTGTAGCCTGCCTGCTAATCCTGCCATTGCAAAATTAAATTAAATCAACAATCAAAAATGTGTAAAGAAAGAGAAGTAATATATAGCCTTCCTAACTACAGCTTGATAGGACCGATTGTCACTGAGCTGCTCATCATTTTTTGTGGCTGCTTATTCACTGTCATCTTTAGCTTTCTTACTGTTTTCCCCCTTTCCATTCCCAGCCCTGCTCCTCTCTTATCTCAGATCTGATTGGAGAGATGCTGAGCATCTCTACAAAAGGACTGTGGGCTAGATGCACAAAAAGGACTTAGGCGCCTAAATTTGTCCTGCTTCTCACTATTGGTGCCTAAATCCAAAGTTCTGATTCTCAAGACCCGTGCTTAGTTGCCACGTAAACTTCGTAGCCACCTAGGTTGAGAGCAGTAAAGATTCTCCAAGCACCTGGAGTTCTCCCTCCGGGCATGCTCTGGCACACCTTGGACTCAGTGGTGCCAAGCATCTGGACATCTATTACTTGCTAAAGTCCCTTCAGGATTCTTTACCCTTGGTCTCCTGAGGGCCTTAATCTTAGGTATTCTCAGGGCTCATCTGGGAAATTGATTCCACACAAACTCCAGAGGAGAAGGAGGATGTGGTACCAACTTCCCTTTCATTCAGTAGCTCAGTGGTTAGAGAGCTCTGCTGGGATGTGGGAGACTTGGGCTCAGTGTCCTCTTTTAGGAAGTTTTGAATCCACACTTCTCACCTCCCAGGAGGGTGCCCTAACCAGCAGGATGCAGGCTATTCTGATAGTGGTACTCCTGATCCCTCTCGTTAATGATGATCCCCTTTTCCTTGGATAATTAGCAGTTTATTTGGCCAGAGGAAGGGGGAGGGTGATAGAGCATCATTCTCTAGCTTTATGATTGAGGCTGATTACATCCCACCAAGCACTTCACTATTTAATATTAAGTATTCCCTTGCGTAGAAGAGAATTGAATCACACCTCTCCCACATTCTGGATAGTGCAGCACCATGGTGCAAACGAAAGAGAGCAGACACCTAACTCCAGGAGAAGAGCCAGGGCTTTGAATCCTATCCCTACCCATGAGCTCCCTGTCTGCGTGATCCAAACCCAGAACTGAGGCAGTGAGGATGCCCTGAAAGTACCTCCCACCTCTGCTGTCAAGCTGTTGGCAGCCTTGAGAGCAGCCAGGAGCCAGTATAGACATGCCTATAGGTACCTGCTTCTTCTGCACCGCAGAGAACAAAGGTGCCTAATTCAGTGCTGTGAATTCCTCTTTTGGTGCCAGGCAGCACATTGCCTGTATGGATCTAGCTCTGTGTGGCTTTAATCCATGGAATTCAGGAATTTAGGATGCTCAAGACATCACCTCACTAAGGGTCTGATCCAGCTCCCACTGAAGCCTGTAGAAGTGTTTCAGGAGGTATCAGTAGGAGATTAACTGAAAGTGAATACAATGTCTCTGAGCCTGATTCTGCATGCCTTTTCTCAGACAAGTAGCCCCATTGAATTTCCATGAGCAAGGCATGTTAGGGTCAGGCTGTTTGTGTGATGTTTGAACTAGTAAAGCCCCATAGCCCTTTGCGAATAGTGACAGCACTTTTATTCTACCCCAGAAAGGAGAATGTAAGTTCGTCAGGAGATTGTACACCTGTAGCATAAAGCCGGCACTGTCTTGTAGAGCCACCATGGCTTTTTAAGAGTGTGTTCATCTGTCTATTGTATTTTATTATCTTCACAAAGATATGAACATATAATATAAGACAATGTCTTTACAATGCTTTCAACTTGAAATTCAGGCTCTGTGTTTGAAAGGTTAATGTAGAAAACTAATTATATTATCCTGGTAACCAAATGTGTGATGAGACATTTGTCTGTGTAATTAACAGTGAAGAACTTTTATAGTTTCATAAAATTGAATGCTACATACAGTAAGTAGGCTGGGTGCATTTGTTTTGAAGAGATGTCCAAAACAGAGATGTTTATGACTGATATAAAGTGGAACTGAAATGTACTGTAATGCAGGTGTCTGTGCATTTTACAACATTTCACATTGTTGAAATGGAAGTCAGCAGATTAATAACTTTACTTTGTCATGATAAAATAAGTAATGCATTCTTGGAACAGGGGAATAGCGCATAAGTTACTCAGTAATTCCAAGAATTTATTCTGTTCCAGGAATAATATCCTTCACAATTTATTCATAGAGAAAAAGTTGACTCAACATAAGTCTAGGAAGTTTCTTGTTAATTTTAATAGAATGATATCCTAGACATGATTTTTGTAGCAGCAGCTAAAGTTGAGATTGCAGGAAGGTTTCCTTTATATAGCTGAGCTTTCAAATAGTCATTTCTTTGCAAAACATTCGTCTTTTAGGTCAAGGTTTACTCTGCTTGGTCTCTGCCACAGCTGATTGCTTTTTGTTTCAAGTAAAACATATTTGGGGCATGTGATTGAAATACACTTTTTGTTTTAAAACAATCATGTGATGCTATTTATTGAACAGCTCTGGCCCAAAACCTCCAGCTGTATTTAGCAGTTGCAGTATGGTATGAAAGTGCAGTAGCCCTGCTGCAGAGGAAGATGTGTTTGATCTGAGTTACAATCTTGAAAAATTTTGTATCGAGCAAATGCAGAAGAGGTTGTGTTTTTGAATTTGTTTCTTGCTAAGTTACTTGAGGGTCAGTCAACTTCAGCCTGACTTTCCTTTGAAGTCAAACGCCATCTCCCCCATCTCTGCCTGCCAGTGAGGGATCTGACCCTGTGGCCTTGATTCTCCAAATAGCTCAAATGGATGCTTGCATCCACTGCACCTTCATCCACTTCACGGGTTCCACGTGGACCTACAAGGTGCCGCCCACATGTTTGTAGGATTGGGGCCTCAGGGCTGGAAATACTGCTTGGATGAGGCACCTAAGTGGCACTTAGGAGTCTGAGTCTCCAGGTGTGATCCTGTTATACCCAGCTTGATTTTTCTCTCTCTTTCTTTCTCAAAAAAAAAATGAAAGCTCCTACTTCTGTTATTTGCCTTCATTCTAGTCTTAAGCTTGATGAGTCAGAAAAAAAAACCCAGCCAGGAGAAGAACCTTTCCATCTTTTAGGTTAACAGTTTTTCAGGGATTCAAGCAGCATGGAATAGGATTGCATATAAATGCTTAATAACTGGATTAGGATCTGGCCCCACAGGGTCTATTTCTGGCCCCAGCTATACAATAGTGTGCTAGCTCATGTGTATGTAACTAATTTATCTCCACAGTGAAACAGCTAATCTCAAATAAACTACAAAAAAAACAGGTCAACTTTCTAGTTGTGCTCAGAAATTTAAGAATTAATCAGAGCAATCCTGTCTGTCAAGACTTGAATAAAGTGTTTGATGGAGCATCCAATGGGAAATCTTTAATAAATATGGAGAAGACTGGGATTAGTAGAGGAACTGCAAGGTGGTAAAGAACTTGGTAAGGGGCGATGGCAGTTTGTAGTGATGAAAGGAGACATCAGACTGGAAATGGTTATTAATGAAGTGATCAGATATTGGCCTTCAGACTGAACTTGTTTTAAAAAATGTATTAATGGTTCTGACACCAAGCTTGTGAATGTGCATATGAAATCTTGATGATGCAATGCTAGGTGGCATTGTCACTACAGAGGAGGATCAGGATATCATTAATAAAGAATTTTCTTTTCTGTGATTCTGTGAAGTAGATGTTCTGGAAGACTGCTTTGATAGAAATTAAATTAAATTTAGTGACACCAAATTCCAGGTCATGTTTTTAGAGTTCAGTAGCAAAAAATTCTGCTATAAGATGGAAACTCATCAATAGAAAGGACTGAGGAAGAGAGGAAACTTGGTGTGCTAGTTGATCACAGAGTGGCTCTGAGCTGCCATGCTGAACCATGAAAAAAGATATCCTCAGATCTCATTTGCATCAGCCAAAGTATTTCCAGTAATATTATACAGAATTATCCTTGTACAAGATGCTGGTGAGACCTCACCTGGAAAACAGCGTACAATTCTGGTAACCCATGTTCAAGGAAAATGAACTCAAAATGGAGCAGGTGCAGAGAAGTGCTATTAGGATGATGAGGAGAATAGAGAGTCCATCTTGCAGAAGGAGATGAAAAGAGTTTGGCTTTTTTAATCTAGCAAAACAAAGACTGAGAGGGGATTTGGTTGCTGCCAATAAGTATGTCAGAGGGGTAAACATCAGGTAGGGAAAAGAACTATTTGAGCTAGTGAACAGTATTGGCACAAGAACAAATGGGTATGTAACTGTCTGTAGTGGGAGACTCAGACAGCCGTCCAATCAAAATAATGGGGGCAAAAGATCTCATTACTTTAAAAGTGGAGCACAGTAAGTTTGTGAAAGGATTATATGATGTGATGTCAGCAATAGTAGGAGACTAGACTCAACCAATGACATGGGGTCCTGTCTAGGCCTGGGTCCCTCCCTGCTACTATTTTTTTTTTTCAACTAAAAGTTCTTTGATCAAGGGAAATGTGCACAGGGCAGAAAAATATGAGATTCTCTCTTATTTCTGTCTTCC